CCCCAAAACCCCAAAACCCCAAAACCCCTAATAGAAAAATTTGAGTAAAATTGTTATATAAAGGATTGATCGAGTAATTATTCAATCTGAATAAGTATAATAATGATTTGCAAATGTGGATCCTGCTTCTCATAGAGATTTCTCTTTTTCAATAAGTGCCTTAACACCGTTGTACATGTCTTAAACTAGACTAACTTCTGATAATCCTAGTCTTCTCTTATTTGAAATGTCATATACACTATCTACTGTCTCTGAGTGCTCTCCGTGAATACCTCTAATTTAAACGTGGTATTTATTAGCAATGGCCTCAAACTCTTCCATGTGCTGTGATAGCTTTGGAAGTCTGATGTGCACTGAAGCTCTTAGTGCAGTACCAAGATTAGTAGGACATGATGTAATATAACCGAGATGCTCATCATGGGCAAATTTAATTGTTTATTCGATGTGAGCACATGCTCTTGAGAGTCTTTCGAAAACAGCACCGATATCGCAACCCTTCTGCATGCTGATGATTCTCAACTGATCTTCCTCGTTGATCCATACTAGGAATGTCAACTCATCATTGTGATAAATTCCTCTGCCTTCTGGCCAATCTCTGTTTAATCCTGCAGCTTCTAGGAATCTATCGCCTTCCTTGAACAAGAAATGCTCGTCAATCAGTTTTTATCTCTCCTCTTCAGTCAAAGATCCTAGTGAGTAGTATTTACCTTTTAGGTCGCCTTCAAATGATTACAAAGCATCTGAGACTTTTTCCTCAATTTCAACTCTCTGCTCTTTGGTAAGACCTGGACCAAGTGGGTAATCAGCAAGATTTCTGCCTACTCTGATTCTAGTGCTGACAATCATGTTATCTGCATCACCATCCTCCAGTGGTGGGCATTCTAGTTTGGTATGATCCATGTCACTGACGTGATTCTGAGTAGTATCAAATCCATGATAGGTCTGTATGATTGGATTGAATAAATCTGAAAAAGCATGGTAAGAGTCTTAACTTCCAGCATAAACACCAATTCCTGAGTCAACATTTTTGCATCCTGAGAAGATAGCTTGCTTGAATGAGAAGCCGAATGAATCCTTCTTCTTCTTGTTTGCTAGCCAAACTTCTTTAGTGCAGAACTAAGATAGAAGTGATTTGGTGCCTGGTGGGAAAAAGAGAGATTTTCCTTTAAGATCAATTGCTGCTCCAAGTTTAGAGCCACATTGAATGATCTTCTCAGCTTGTTATTTGTTTTCTTCAACATTAATTTCAACTGCTGCTTCCTATTTGACCTTAGGTGGTCTAAGTTATTTTTCTCTAGCAATCATTGCTTTTACTCCATTATACATGTCTTGAACAAGATCAACTTCCGATCTACCAAGTCTCCTCTTATTTGAGATATCATAAATATGATCATCTGTTTCAGTGTGTTCACCATGAGCACCTCTTATCTGCACATGGAATTAATCTGCAATAGCCTGGAATTCATCTTTGTGCTGTCCAAGGTGAGGGAGGTGGATGTGAACTGATGCTCTCAAGGCAGTTCCTAAATTAGTTGGGCATGATGTGATATAGCCAAGATGATCATCATGAGCAAATTTAGCTACAGTTTCAATGTGAGCGCAAGCCTTTGAAAGCCTTGTGAATACTGCTCCAATATCAGCTCCATTCTACATAGAGATGATTCTGAGTTGATCTTCTTCGTTGACCCAAACGAGGAATGTCTTGTCATTATTGTGGAAGATTCCTCTTCCTTCTGGCCAGTCCCTGTTTAATCCAACAGCTTCCAAGAATCTATCTCCTTCTTTGAAAAGGAAATGGTCTGCAATGAGTTGTTTTCTCTCTTCATCACTTAGAGCTGATAGTGCATAGTATTTACCTTCAAGCTCTCCCTCAAAACTTTGAAGAGCTTAAACTACCTTTTGCTCGATTTCATTTCTTTATTCTCTAGTAAGTCCTGGTCCTAGTGGATAATCTGCTAAGTTTCTTCCGACTCTTATTCTAGTACTTTTAATTAATTTAGCTTCACTATTTCTAAGAGGTGGGCATTCAAGTTTAGTATAGTCCATATCGCTAACATGATTGGCATCCTTAGCGTGGCCATGGTAATCTTAGATTATGTGATCAAAGAATGAAGCGAAGGTCACATATGAATCATGAGATCCCGCGTAAACACCAATACCTGAATCAGTGTTTTAACATCCAGAGAATATTGCCTGTTTGAAAGAGAATCCATGTTTGTCCTTTAGATTCTTAAGTTGCTTCCAGAGATCACTTGAAAGATATTTACTAAGAAGAGATTTTGTTCCTGCAGGGAAAACGGGGAATCCACTTAGCTCTTCTGGTGATTTCAAGTGACTTCCAACTTGCAATTGCTTTGGCTCCTTTACTGGAGCAAGTTCAAGTTCTTTTTGAATCATTGCTTTAACACCATTGTACATATCTTAAACTAAGTCGACTTCTGATCTTCCTAGTCTTCTCTTGTTTGAGATGTCATAGATATGATCATCAGTCTCTGTGTGCTCTCCATGAGCTCCTCTAATTTGAACATGATATTTGTCAGCAATGGCTTAGAAATCACTCTTAACTTAGCCAAGGTTTGGAAGATGAATGTGCACAGAGGCTCTTAAAGCAGTTCCAAGGTTGGTTGGGCAAGAAGTAATATAGCCTAAGTGCTCATCATGTGAGAATTTAGCTACAGTTTCAATGTGGGCGCAGGCCTTTGATAATCTAGTGAAAACTGCACCAATGTCAGCCCCATTTTGCATAGAGATGATTCTGAGTTGATCTTCTTCATTAACCCAGACTAAGAAAGTCTTTTCATTATTGTGGAAAATTCCTCTTCCTTCTGGCCAGTTTCTGTTAAGGCCAACAGCTTCTAAGAATCTATCACCTTCCTTGAACAAGAAATGGTCTGCAATGAGTTGCTTTCTTTCATCTTCACTGAGAGATGATAGCGCATAGTACTTGCCAGCGAGTTCACCTTCAAAGGATGAAAGAGCCTCTACGACTGTTTTTTCAATCTCATTTCTATGCTCATCAGCTAAACCTGGCCCAAGTGGAAAATCAGCGAGATTTCTTCCTACTCTGATTCTGGTACTCTTAATAAGTTTTTATTCTTTATTAGAAAGTGGTGGACAGTTTAGCTTTGTATAGTCCATATCACTCACGTGCTTAGCGTCTTTTGAGTGACCGTGATATGTCTGAATAACTTAGTCCATTAAAGGAGCAAATGCTGTGTAGGAGTCATGAGATCCAGCGTAAACACCAATGCCTGAATCAGTGTTTTGGCATCCAGAGAATATTGCTTATTTGAAGGAGAAACCGTGCTTATCACTTGCATTCTTCAATTCTCCCCAAACATCTTTAGACAAATGCTTCATTAACAAGGATTTAGTTCCTTCTGGGAATACTGGGAATCCAGTCAAATCATTTGGAGTTTTAAGATGGGATCCACACATTAATTCCTCCTCTTTCTCCTCTTCTTGAGGTGAGAGTTCTTTTTCTTTCTCAATCATAGCCTTAACTCCATTATACATATCTTAGACGAGGTCAACCTCTGATCTGCCAAGTCTTCTCTTATTGGAAATATCATAGATGTGATCATCAGTTTCAGTGTGTTCACCATGAGCACCTCTAATTTATACGTGATATCTATCAGCAATGGCTTGGAATTCCGCCTTGTTTTGACCTAGATAAGGTAGATGGATGTGGACTGAAGCTCTTAGAGCAGTTCCAAGGTTAGTTGGGCAAGATGTAATATATCCAAGATGGTCATCGTGAGAGAACTTTGCAACAGTTTCAATGTGAGAGCATGCTTTGCTAAGTCTAGTGAAAACAGCACCAATATCAGCACCATTTTGCATTGAGATAATTCTTAGTTGATCCTCCTCATTAACCCACACAAGGAAAGTCTTTTCGTTGTTATGGAAGATGCCTCTGCCATCTGGCCATTCTCTATTCAAACCTACAGCTTCAAGGAATCTATCTCCCTCCTTAAAGAGGAAATGATCAGCTATAAGTTGCTTTCTGTCAGCTTCACTCAAGTCTGATAAAGCGTAGTATTTTCCTTCTAGTTCTCCCTCAAATGAAGATAACGCTTGAACAACCTTAGACTCTATTTCTTTTCTTTGTTCCTTGGTCAGACCTGGGCCAAGGGGATAGTCTGCGAGATTTCTGCCTACTCTGATTCTTGTGCTTTTAATCATTTAAGCATCAGACTCTGCAAAAGGTGGGCAAACCAATTTGGTATAGTCCATATCGCTGACATGCTTATCATCCTTCCCGTGGCCATGATAGTCCTAAACAATGTGATCAAAGAAGCTTGCGAAAGTGTAATAAGAGTCATGAGATCCAGCGTAAACTCCAATTCCTGAATCAGTATTTTGACAGCCAGAAAAGATTGCTTACTTAAATGAGAATCCATACTTATCCTTAACTTTTGTAAGTTATTCAAAGATTTCTCTAGTAAGATACTTGCTCAAAAGTGATTTTGTTCCATCTGGGAATATTGGGAAGCCTTTTAGATCTTTGAAAGTCTAAAGATGTCTTCCAACTTCTATATCTGTTATTTCTTTCTTTGGTTTTAGTTCTAGCTCTCTTTGAAGAAGTGCCTTTACTCCGTTGTACATATCTTGAACCAGACTGACTTCACTAATGCCTAATCTTCTCTTGTTAGAAATATCATAAATATGGTCATTAGTCTCAGTGTGTTCTCCATGAGCTCCTCTGATCTAGACGTGATATTTGTCAGCAATAGCTTCGAACTCATCCTTTCTTTGTCCAAGGTTAGGCAAGTAAACATGAACTGAAGCTCTGAGACCTGTACCAAGATTAGTAGGACAAGATGTGATGTATCCTAGATGTTCATCGTGGGCAAACTTAGCTACAGTTTCAATATGAGCACAAGCTTTCGACAATCTTGTGAATACTGCACCAATATCTGCACCGTTCTGCATTGATATGATTCTGAGTTGATCTTCTTCATTGACCCAGACTAAGAAAGTCTTTGAAGCATTGTGGAAGATTCCTCTGCCCTCAGGCCAGTCTCTATTAAGGAATGAAGCTTCTTGGAACCTATCACCCTCTTTGAATAGGAAATGGTCAGCAATTAATTGCTTCTTCTCATCATCACTTAGTGAACCTAATGAGTAGAATGTACCAGCAAGTTCACCTTCAAAGCTGCTCAAAGCTTTAACAACCTTTTATTCAATTTCAACTCTTTACTCTTTGCTTAAACCTGGGCCAAGTGGATACTCAGCAAGATTTCTTCCAACTCTAATTCTAGTGCTTCTAATTAGTTTCTGCTCCTTTGCACTAAATGGTGGGCAATTTAATTTGGTGTAATCCATATCGCTGTGATGAACTGCACTCTTTTCATGACCATGATAGTCTTCGATGATCTTGTCAAATAACTCTGCAAAAGCATTATAAGAATCATGACTGCCAGCAATAACTCCGATATGTGAATCGACATTTTTACATCCAGTGAAAATAGCATGCTTGAAAGTGTATCCATGACTGTCGACTAAGTTCTTGCTGTTGCTCCAAAGTTCTCTGGTAATGAATTTTTTAAGCAATGAGTGAGTGCCTGGTGGGAATACTGGGTATCCAAATAAATCATCAGGAGTCTTTAAATGAGCTCCAACTTCAATGTCTTCTTCTGGGGCAACTTCATTTGGCTCTGGCTCTTCAAATTCATTGGCGTATTGCTCATCAGTGCCTTGTCTGTGGATTGAAGCCTAAGCTGGGATGGTATCATGTCTTGACTGAGAATGATCTAAGAACTTGGGATCGCTTTGATGAGAAATGTGGCTCTGATTTAAATCTTGAACTGATTTATTTAAAGCTTGCTCTTATTCTTGTCTTTCTCTCTCCTCTCTTTCTTACTATTCTCTCAGTAGTCTTTCCTACTCTTGTCTTTGACTCTCCTCCTGTTCTTTCCTGAGTCTTTCTTGCTCAGCTTTTTAAGCTTCAGCTTCTCTCTATTGCTGTTCTTTCTGCTTTTGCTCTCTTTCTTATTACTCTCTTAATTCCTTTTCTCTTTACTGCTATTCTCTAAGTTGCTATTCTTAGAGTTCTCTTTGTCTTCTTTCATTTTCTTCTCTCTGTTTTTATTCTTCTGCAGCCTTTTGTTGTTGTTAAGCTTGATTTGGAGTGCTTTAGTTTCTGACTGGGACATTTGAAGAGTTAGAGAACTTCTGAGACTCTTGCTTTGCGGGTGAACTCATATTCTTATTGCTATTGGCACCACTGAATCCAGTGTTGGAGTCGTTGTACCCTCTAATAGGGCTTTTACTAGTAGGTGGCCCTGCTCTGGATTTAGATCCTCCCTTAACAGGAGAATTTCCAGCCAAGTATCTAGTCAGATCTTTGTTATCCTTTTCATCTTAAACTAGTAGATAGCATTTTTCTCCAACAAGCTAAGTGTTGGGCCAGAATGAGCTTTGAAGTTTTGAGAATATCAACTATACATCAAATTAGCATTATGTCATATTAGAAGAATAATTTGCCGTTTGAGGATTAATTATATTTTAGGAAACACCAATCGTTTTTAAATCAACAGCTATTAGCATAGATACTTACCATTCCCTTGTAAGATACTTCAAAAGAACCTGTTCTTGGTACCCAATCATAGATGGGACTACCATCATCTTCGTTTGGAACTAAATTGCAGTAGAGATCATATTAGACATAAGATTTGGGAATCTGATTTCTAAGTACAACAGCATTGGGTATTCTCGAAATGATGGCGCTAGATACTACACGTCAAATGTTGAGAAGCTGACAAGGTAGAAATCTTACTTTTATTGAAGAAGTCCTCGTACTTGGACTCGTCGTGTCTAGTATTCCAGTGATGGTCTTTGCAGTTCTGGCATGTCTCAACGACAAACACATATTCGCTTCCACTAAGGTCGACTTTTCTTTGCATTTTTATTAAAGATATTAAATTATGAAAGAACTGGCACTGCTCGATTTTTAAAAAGCAAAGATTTAGCACACATGGGGTTTTGGGGTTTTGGGGTTTTGGGGTTTTGGGG